CATGCCTGATACCTAGAATACATTCATTTTTGTCAGTAAAGAACATTGGGTGTCTCTAACATTGAGATAATACCTACCAGATATTTGGTGTTGTGTTGAACAACTCACATGGTTGATTTTTCCGTGGTTACTTTATGCAGTAAGCTAAATACTGTTATTATCATCATCGGCCTTATTTTAAGGAGTCACCAGACTGCTGGAGATGTTAAATAACTGTCCACTATTTCCAGCCTGAAAGTGATATGCTTGGGCCTTGAACCGAGGCATTCAAGTAAATAACATGGTAATAGTCCTGAGACTAGATTGTAAACAGTGGGCAATCCTACTTCTCTAGCAAACACCTTTCAGTGGAACTTTTGCCAAAACTCTCACTGAGAGAGAGTTTTTTCCACAAGAGTAGATAAGTCTACATTTCTTATTCTGGTGCATGTTTGTTTCTCTGCTTATGTTTCTAGTTCTATATTTCTTAGTCTGAGACTTGTTATATTTCTTCAGAGGTTTCATTACAACATAGGATGAACATGACATGCCTCCTGAATGGTCTATTTTACTTTAATATTGTGGGGCAAAATGTTATTACTATTGCATGCTTGTGGCATAAAATTATTTCCAGCAGAAATAATTAAAAAACACTTGTAATTTTAAAACTTATCATCTTATTCTCTATTTTAATGTGAGCTTGAAGACCAAAAAGTTACATAAGCTTGGCTATATCCCTCTGGCTCGCTTTATAATTTTTATTAGTGAACTCTTTAAATATTATATTATCAGTTTTCATAGATGATCCGATACAATAGGAAACTTTTCTGTTGCATTAAAAAACCCTGCTGTCAAGGTCTTCATTCATTACTTTGTTAAAAGCCCTTGTAAAAATCCCTATGAAAAATTTCTCCAAGAGCTCAGAACTCTCCCAATGAGTTAATGGTCTACTGGATGATAAGAGATATGAAATTCATTGTATTGTCCTTTGACCTAGATTGCTAGAAACTTAGAGCTAAGGTTTGAAATCACTTGCTATATTTTTCTCCAGTCAAGACTTTATAATTTTTCTTTTTAGCTCTCCTGCTACAGTCCTTTTACTTTTTTTTTTTTATCATGAGTTAATAGTTTTAGGTTTATTTATATGCTTTTATTTCAAAGAAACCCAAATCTTTTACAAAAATTAAAAGGGTACAAAAGGGGTGAGCAAGAATACATATAGAAATAAATATTGTTAGGTGTGCATTTATTTTTCTAGCACATGTGAAAATAGTTTTCTTCAATGGGATAAAATTTCAATGTATGCTTGACAACTTATTTTTGTAAATTTTCATTTTTGATGCATGGATATCATAGTTGTGTAATGACCTTTCACAAACCAAACTTTGTAGTAAAAATAAATATTTTTAGGGTATATTAAGATTTTGGTTGATGTTTCTTTATCATGTAGCTAAATGTTGGACAGAATAAGCATTAAGCAGATATTTCCATCTAAAAAATATTTTAAAATTATGCTTAAGGGAGATTATTTTATGTATTTTATATTCTCTATTGATTGTGAAGACAATGTCTCACTTTATTAAATGTTCTGTCTCTTAAGAAGTTTCCACAACTCAAGGAGGTACCTGCCTTTCTATATGTTTTCCTTAATTAAAATTTGTATTTCATCTCCCAAGTTGTGGAAAATATGATATTGTTATAATATTACACAGAATCTTTTCTCCCATAACTATGTGTGAGATAAAGGGCAATTCTTTACATTCTGAATTTCTCATGATTCAGTGTCATATTTTCCATTTATGAATTTATAACTATATTAGTTTAATTTGTGATTAAATCCTACCGATTTTCCAAAACTCTTAAAGAAAGTGATTTTTCACCTGTTGCTCAACTTATGTAAGTCTACACTGTGAAGGAAACAGTTATAAACATGTAAAGTAAGATAATTCCAAAATGTGCAACAGAAATCAATTCTGAAAGCATCATGACATTGGGGGATGTTTGAAATAAGTTGGCGTTTATCTATGTCATCAATGCTTCATGAAATTCTGACTCATTTCATTAGTAAAAATATCTATCCAGAATGTCAATAAAGAGTGCTGAGAGCATTTGTGAAATGCCATTGACTTTTGCGATTGCGAGAAATCTATCTCCCTAAACATGAATTGTGCTATGTCTATGTGTCTTCCAATAAACATCTCCCCATCAAATAATTTCCATGTCAGTAAATAGAATGGAACACAAAAATCCTTCGTGTCTATTCTCTCTTTCAGAAGAAAAACTGACCTTGCCACATCTATAGAAAGTTAATATACATGGAAAAATTCAATATAACTCTTTTGGCTATAACTGTAGCTTTAGTTTATATTTTGGAAACTACTGCAAAAGTAATTTGACATCTTTATTTTTAAAAATGCGTTATATTAATAATTACAGGAAAGCAGGTGAATGGAGCAATTTTTTTCAATCAAATTATTGTGCTTTTGTGTAATGTGTATTTTGTCTTTAATGACTTGGAACCATATTCCTCTTCCTGGAGAGGTCATTATGCTTTTATTAGATTGTGATTTTCCCCTTCAGTTATTTCTTCCTTTCCTAAGTGCCAGAAATGTTCTGAAAAGAGAAAACAGAGCACATTGACGCCATTTTTCTCAGAATATATTGTCTAGAATGTCTTTGTCATATGGATTTTTATTATTATCTTTACTTAGGACAATATTCTTTTATCTTTACTATGCATTTATTCCTTTTAGTACATTTGGAAATTAGGATGCTTTCTTTTATGGAGAAAGGATGTGAAGTCACAAAAAAGTGTTTAGACTTATCTCCTATTGCCTCAAAGTGTAGAAGCAGGACAGGTGAATGAAAGCTTCAGGGGATCACTGATTCATTGCAAGAAATAATTTTGGACTTGACTGTCTTGGCATTTCCAGTTCTGGGGGTAATGTAGTAAAGTGAGTTCAGTATCAGATTGGTGGTATTGAACGTTCTATTCCCATGCCTAGAAGCCCCTCTCACAAATCCATGTTTGAGCTAATTCTAATATTCCTTCACAAGTCAGCTTGAATTTTATCCCCAATGTGCTATTTTCTTGGAATGACTCCACTCCCATCCACAGTAATATCTCTGTGCTCCAACAATACCGTGTGTACTTCTCTATCACATGTTTCATTCTCCACTGTTATTGTTACTTGTTATACTTGCCACTAGTTTTAAGTGGCTTAAGAGTGGGAGTCATAACTTATTTGGTTGTGTATCTCTAGCATCCAGCAGAGTTTTTGGCAAGAGCAAAATTACGTGAATGAATGAAGAGATAAGAATTTTTACACTCTTTCAAATATGTGATTTGGAAAGAAATTTGAAGAAAATCTGTAGTGTTTTAGCTTCTTTGGTTTTATTTTTATACCCATTAGGAACTCATACAATGTATCATGTTATATGGAGGAACATATGTGTACAGTTGCTCTAAAAGACAGAATTTGATAAGCCCTTATGAATTATAAATGCATCTTTTAGTATCACAGGAAAGATACTTTGCAAGTTTGCTGTTGTTATTGTTGAAAAGTCATTGACTTTCAATTTCTACTTCCATTTTATTTTTTGTGATGCTAAATATTTGTGTGGTAGTGATATTTATTTATTTATTTTTCACTTCACTGTTTCTACCAAGGTTTTAGCCAGAACTTAAAAATCAATCGACCTAAAATGGAAAAGACAGAAAATGCCAAGTGTTGTTGAGGATATGGGAACAACTGGGACACTCACCCACTGTTGATAGGAGTGTAAATTGCTATAAATATTTTGGAAACCTGTTTGTCAGGATCTCTAAAGCTGAATATATGCATACCTTATTACTTAGTTATGGCACTCCTAGGTATACGACACATAAAAATGAATATATTCATCAATATATATACACACAAATGTTTGTAGCAGACCTATTTGTAATTATTTCAAATTGGAAATAAATCAAATGTCCTCAACAGTAGAAGGCATGATTCTTGTATATAAATACAGTGAAATGCTTATATAACAATGCAGATGAATGAAATGCAGCTATGTGCCACACTAGGAATGAATCTAACATATACAACAATAATAATGTTGAATGAAACAATAAAGATCTGAAACAGCTCTCATTGTATGATTCCATTTATATTAATTTTAAACACTGACAAAACTAATATGTGGTATTAGAAGTCAGAAGAGTGGTTACCCTTAAGGATTGAGAGAGAATAGTGATAGGAAGAGGGGCATGAGCAGGGGCTTTTAGAGGGTTGCCAATGTTTTATTTCTCTGAGTGGTGGTTTTTTGGGTGTATTCAATTTGGTGAAATGGTTTTGAATTATAAAGCTTTGATCTGTGCCATTTTCTGTATGTTTATTATACCTCATTAAAAACTTAAAAATGAAATGAAGTCAGAATAAAAAGTCCAAAATCATGATTTAACAATTAGTAAACACCTTAAAGGGATATTTTGTGTCATGAATGAAAATTTCAGGATTCCATCTTAATTTTATTAAATGTGTAGAATTTGGCTATGTTAATGTAGTAAAGTTTATCTACACCTTTAGGCTTTTGGTATTGCCAACCTATTGACTGACAAATATGGATATGAAAAACCCCTTGGATAATTAACAGTGATAATGTTTTATTTCTCCCTCAAAGAATATTAAATATTATTGTACTATGAAATAATTTCCTATCTTTAAGACACACTAATCCTTCAGAAGGTTTTCAAGTTGCTGCAAAAATGATCTACTATTCAGGTCATGTTAATAAAATGGCTCAAATAGTGATGGTGCTTTGATAATAAAAACCGTTGAGCATCGTGTACATTATAAATTTTGTGTATTTTTTTGAGGAGAAGCATGTTATTTATAGTGTTTTCTTTGGAAAAAATAATTATTCCTAGTTAAATAGAGCAAATACATGTTATTTCCTACTTTAAACTCAAATTCCGGTGTTCATATTTTATAAAAAGATAGCAACTAAGAAAACAAAGCTCTAAACAACTTGCTACCTGTAGAGAAATATATAGCATTCGTACTTGTTAGCTACCAAAAAGAAAAAGGTAATAAATCTGCTATTTCCTTTTTGTCAGGGGCCAAGGGAAAAGAGCTTCATTAGCATATTTGTCACGCAGATGTGAAATGAGACAGAAAACTACTAGAACAATTGGGAGAAATCTAAAATATGAAGTTCCAGCACAAACTTAGATGGCTTCTCACTATGTGAAGGTTTGAACAGCAACTTCTGACATGGAAAATAATCACAGCAAAAAGAGGTGAGGGAAAATTATGAACATGATAATGTGAAAAACCATGATACAATCTTTGCAATTTAGATTGGCCTTTGAGATGTGCCATATTGCATAGCTTAATTTTGAAAGGTCATTGAAGCAGAGTTAATTGCCTCTGTTAAATTGGATGGTCAACAAGTTTTGTTCAAATGCTTGGTGCACTTGAGGTTTCAGAATTACAACACAAAATTTATTTCTTCTTAGAACTGACCTGATAGATGGGAACCACAAATGTTTCCATAAATGTTTTCTGTCTGGTGTTATCTATATAAAAATCAAATAGATGACCAGAGAAATAATGTCAAGGTATATGAGTTAGAAATACCTAACTTTATAGCAGTTTGTAAAGAAAGAAAGAGAAACAAATATTTCAGCTGTGGATTCAGACTTTTACACAAAATATTATGTTAGATATACATAGTATTATGATAGTATTTCTAAAAAATTCTATCTTTAGTTTTAAATTGTTGGAAGCGTTATGTTGGTTACTATGGTTTCAGCACCATTACTATTAACAGGAGGGCACATGCTCAATTGTGTCATTGGTTAGCAATGAAGCAATTTATATATTGGCCTCTATTAGGGGCAATTACAGTGGCTCATGTACACTATATATGTATGCCTGTATGCATAAAAATCCTGAGTGATGACAACATGGGAATTTCCAAAATTAGTTTCTAGGAAAATGTGGGCTGAATAGAGCACATTTTTCATTATCTGTGAGAATGAAGATTTGGTATAATATAAAAATGAAATTAATGTTTATTGCATGGTTTCATCCTCTTTACTAATAAATTTTTACTGTAGGCACTAACAAGTGACAGATGTGGTTGACTCATCTCCTTCTTCCTTGGACTCTCTAATGAGCAATTAAATAGCCTGAAACAGAACAATCAAGAGGTCTGGCAAATCCACACACTAGGTAATCGGTTTTTGAAAAATTGAGAGTTAATGGTACTTAACTCTGTTGTTAGTCAAGAATTCCCCAAGCATCTTTCTCAGAAAGACTCCGAAAAAAAGGACACCCAATAAACAGTATAATTCTCAGTAGTGGCATCATCAACCCAGTCCATAATTTGCCAACAGTTTTTCAAATACTATTTCAAATGAAGGTATGAAGAAGGCACGTGGTCATATGTGCTGTGTTGTTTGAGGATATCTTGTGAAATTCTGATAATCCAAGCTAGCTTTCCTCCTGTTTCTGGGCCCACCAGTATTAATGGGTTCTTTGGGTGGTAATACTGCTTAGAATTTTCTTTCTTTCTTTCTTTCTCTTTCCTTTCCTTCTTTTCATTTTTCCTCCATTCCCTCCCTTTCACTATAAACATTCATTGAGTGCTGAATGTATGTCATGGATTGTGCTGGGGTATGGAAACAGGAAGATAAATAAAGACAAATTTTTGATCAATACTGACTGCTGTCTCTGAAGAGAGTATAAATATAAAGATACAAGGCAGTATGGCTTGTTCAAAAATAGAGAGATGCCATGGGTAATTGGAAGCATATACGAAGGGCGGTTTAGGAGTAGGGCTAGAAGATCATCTGGACAAGAAAGATAGCAAGAGCAAGAGAAGATGCCTTTGAAATAGCAGTGTCTATGAGGGAAATAACAGTCCAATATTTCTGTAGTGTAAAGTGCAAGGCAAGATTGTGATGAAGGATGAGGTAGGAAAGCACGATAAGAGCCTTACAATTCATGTTAATGAAATAAGGATTTTTCTTATAGATTTTGGAAACTCACTGAAGGTTTTTAAGTAAGGTAGAAATATGATCACCTTTGCCTTTCGGGGCAGCATTCTGGCAGTACTGTGGAGGCCAAGACCAACACAAGAATGGAAGCTGCATTGTGGTTAAGAGACTGAAGCAGCAGTGCAGATTCTGACGTATTCTGACATAGTGCCATAGTACTAGGGAAAGAGGATGTGATGGCTTCAATGCATATTTAGGAGGATGAATTAAAAATATTTAGTGCTAGAGCAGACCAGTCTAAAGATAATTCAAACTGAAGTGTGTAGGTGCTAAGTTCAAGCTGCATTTAGGATAGTCTAGCAGGTAAGTAGTTTGATGAGTCTGTATTTCATGGCAGATATATGTGCCGAAAATATACGTTTGGAAATAGGGAACATGTATGTTTCATTTGAAACTATGCTAGTGGGTGAAATTTCCAAGGGACTGGAAGATTGTGATGAGATAGAGTCTAGGAATCCCCCTAACATCAATACTTAAAGGGAAGACAGAGATAGAGTTGCACAAAGGAAACAGAGGGTAGGCACAAAGAGGTCAGGAAAAGGACATGGGCACGATTTATTTATTTATTTATTTAGAGACAGTGTCTCACTCTGTTGCCCAGACTGGAGTGCAGTGGTGTGATTTCTGCTCACTGCAACTTCTGACTCCCAGGCTCAAGTGATCCTCTTGCCTCAGCCTCCCAAGTAGCTGGGATTCCAGGCACACACAACCATTCCCAGCTAATTTTTTTTTTTTTTGGGTATTTTTAGTAGAGACGGGGTTTCATCATGTTGATCAGGCTGCTCTTGAACTCCTGACCTCAACTGATCCACCCACCTTGGCCTCCCAAAGTGCTGGGATTACAGGTGTGAGCCACCATGCCCAGCATCTTTTTCTAAAAACAAGAGACTTGGGCATCAAGGGAGTGGAGAGTTTCAAAGATAGTGCTTCGTGCAGTCAAGTACTTCAGAAAGTTCTTAGTCATTTTGCAAGGGTTAATAGGTTAGTTCCAAGGATCGTGAGCAAATTGCCTTCCACTTGGTTAAAACAACCTCAAGAAATTCTGGAAGAATATATACCAAAAAAAAAAAAAAAAAAAAGGAAAGAAAAGAAAGACAGAAAGCTAGGCCACACCAAACCCAAACAATACTTTTTGTTTCCAGATGAAGTATTGGCCCAAACTGCAATGTAGAACTGTAATTTAGGTATTTGGTTGACACACAGAAAGACCTTAAAGACTCTTTTACTTAGAATAGGCATGTTACTTGGAACGCCCTATCTCCTTGTTCTGTTTTATTTAGATGATGAAGAAATGTACATTCAAGGAAAATCAAACCAACTAAAGGAAGAAAAACTTTGAGTTCTGCTATATCTGTGGGTTCCTGCAGATAAAATCAACCATAGATAAAAAATGTTCAGGAAAAAAAGCACCAGCAACAATAAAAAATAATACAGGTAAAAGCAATATAGTGTAACAACTATTTACACAGCATCCACATTGTATTAGGCATTAGAAGTAATCTAGAGATCATTTAAAGTATATGAGAGGATGTGTGTGGTTTATGTGCAAATATCATGCCTTTTTAAACAGAGGACTTGGGCAGCATTGAGTTTTGGTATCCATGAGGTCCTGGAACCAATCCCTTGTGGATAACAAGTGATGGTGGTAATTCTTTTTTCTCCACTTTCATATGCTACTCTTTGAAAGAAAGTCACTATGTGCAACCCACACTTAAGGAGTGGGTAGTTATGTTCAGTCTCCTTAATGGTGTGCATCTACATATATTATTTGGAGTTCCTCTACACAGATTTGTTAGTATTTATTTATTTATTTATTTATTCAAATAATTGATTTACATTGCCATAAACTCATGGATATTATTTTATATTTTGGGTTATAATTCAATCCTAATTTGGTTTACTTTATTACTCAAATTGTTCCAGGTTTGGCCACTGGGACCTTTTCCAGTTGGTTCCTATGTCCCTTTGATATAACCACATCATTGTCTTTTTGTTTGTTTCTTTGTTTGGGTACTTCAAGATGCTCAGGGCTCATCTAGTATGTTCTTTGCCCCTGTCCCAGAATCAGCCATTTCTCTAGGAAGGTCTGGTTCCTTTGATTAAAGAATGGTGTTAGAAATCAAGGTTAGGATACTAGGTCTGTTCTTTGCTACTGGGTCTCCTTGCTTCTAGGCCTTCTTAGCTGACAGAGCAAGGAGACCTATACATGTATATGAATGCCCATATATCTATAAATATTTCCATATGTAGCTGTCTTTATTAAGCTAAGCGTTGGTTCATATTGATGTCTCCAACTATAATTCATTACCATATGGCCTCGTCCCCTTGCTTATCTTCAGCCTCCCCTTCCATCATCCACTTGACTCACCATCCAGCATCCATTTATATAATTGTTCAGTTCCAATATAAGTGTATATTGGCTTAAGAATTATTAACCTGTAGCTTTGTAGGAATCGATTTTATCACTGAAAGTACAGTGCTAACTATAGTTCCTTTTGCCTTTATTCTTTCAAAAATTGCTTAGGTCAGCACTTTATTCTACCATCTCCTTTAGTGAGGTTGATTCAATCCTGTGATTTCCCCAATCTCTTCAGTGAGTTTTTAAAAATTTATATACATTAAGGCCTACTCCTTGTGTTGTAAATTTCTCTGGATTTGATAAATTAATGTCTTATATTCAGAATTATTGTATTATACAGAATAGTTTTACATCCTAAAAAATATCCCATGCTTCACCTATTCAATCCCTCTCTGCCACTGAACCCCTGGCAAATATTGATCCATTTATTGCCTCCATAGTTCTACTTTTTCCAAAATGTCATAAAATTGAAATCATACAGTATATAGCTTTTCTATATTAACTTTCCACTTAGCAGTATGTATTTAAAATTCATTCATGTCCTTATGTGAATTTGTAGCTTATTTCTTTTATTGCTGAATAATATTCTTTTTATGGGTGCACTACAGTTTATCCATTCACCTATTAGAGATCATCTAGGTTGCTTTCACTTTTTGGTGATTATGAATAAAATTGCTGTCATCATTTACATTCAGGTTTTTGTATGGACATGAGATTTCAAATCAGTTGGATAAATACTGAGGAGTGTAATTGCGAGATCATATGGTAAAACTATATTTAGTGTTGTAAGAAGTCACAATGGTCATCCAAAGCAGCTGCACCATTTTGTATTCTGAATAGCAATGATTGAGAGAGTTTTTGTTGCTCTCCACCCTTACCAGCAATTGGTACTGTCAGTTCAGATTTTTAGTCTTTCTAATGGATAGATAGTGGTATCTCATTTTTGTTTTAATTTACAATTATCTGATGACAAATTATCTTTTCCTATCATTATTTGCTATCTGTATATCTCATTTGGTAAGGTTTCTAATAATATATTATGCCCACTTAAAAAAATAACTTCAACCTTTATTTTAGATTCATGGGGTACGTGCACAGGTTTGTTCCATGGATACATTGAATGATGCTAAGGTTTGGGGTACAAATGATCCCATCACCCAGGTAGTGAGCTTAGTATCGAATAGGTAGTTTTTCAGCCCTTGCCCCAACCTTCCGCCTTTAACGTCCCTAGTGTCTCTTGCTGTCATCTTTATGTTCTCTAGTACCCGATCTTTAGCTTCCACTTATAAGTGAGAACATGTGGTATTTAGATTTCTGTTCCTGCATTAATTGTCTTGGGATAATGGCCTCCATCTGCATCCATGTTTTTGCAAAGGACATGATTTTGTTTTTTTTTTTTTTAAATGTATGCTCTTTTTATTTGAGACTGAGTCTCGCTCTGTCACCCAGGCTGGAGTGCAGTGGCGTGATCTCAGCTCACTGCAAGCTCCGCCTCCTGGGTTAATGTTTGCTCATTTTTAAAAATTGTGTTGTTTCCTTATTGTTGAAATTTTTATGTATTTTAATTACAAGTCCAATATCAGAGTTCTGAAAATAGTGTCTTCAAGTCTTTGGCTTCTTTTTGCATTGTTTTAACAGTATCTATCATAGAGAAAATTTTAACTTTACTGTGTTTCCTTCAAGAAATTTTAAAGCTTTAAATTTTACATTTAGGTTTACAATCCATTTTGACTTCATTTTTGTGAAAAGTATAAATCTGTGTCTGGATTCATCTTCTGTGGGGTGTGCATGTTCCATTGTTCCATCACTATATTTTTAAAAAAGACCACCCTTTCTCCACTGAATTGTTTTTGCTACTTTGTCAAAAACCAGTTGACTGTATTTGTGTGGGTCTAACTGGGCTTTCTTTTTGGCTCCATCGAACTGTATGTCTCTTCTTTTGCCAAGATCACAGTCTGCGTCTTATGCAACCCTTGAAATTTGATAATGCAAGTCATCTAGGTTTGTTCTTCCTCAGTATTGTGTTGGCTACACTGGGGTCTTTTGCTTTTCCACATAAACTTCAGAATCAGTTTGTTGGTTTCTGGAAAATAGTTTGGTGGGATTCTAATTGGGATTGCATTAAATCTATAGATCAAGTTGGGATGGTTTGGCATCTTCATAATATTGGATCTTCTAATCCATAAACATAGAATATCTCTCCATTTATTTAGGTCTTCTTTGATTTTTTTCATCAGCGTTTTGTAGCTTTACACATACAGCTCTCATATATATTGTTAGACATACACCTATTTTATTTTGGGGAGTGCTAACAAAAATGATATATTTTTTTTAATTTTAAATTTCAATTGTTCATTGCTGGTCAATAGACAGAAAAATGGCCCCCAAAGATGTCCATGCCTTAATGCCCCGAATCTGTGAATATTTAACCTTAAATTGCAAAATGCACTTTGCAGATGTGGTTAAGGATTTTGAGATGGGGAGATTATCCTGGCTTATCTGGGTGGATCCAATGTCATCATTAGGATACTTACAAGAGTGAGGCAGAAGAGTCAGAATCAGAGAAGGAGATGTGATGATGGAAACAGAGTCCAGAGAATCAAAGAAAGGTTTGCAGATGTGGTGCTCCTCATTCAGAAAATAGGTTGAGTCCATGAGTTACATAATGCAAGTGGCCTCTAGGAGCTAAAAATGGCAAGTAAATGGATTTTTCTGTAGAGTATCCAGAAGGAATGCAGCGTTGCTGACACCTTGATCTTAGCTCATCTAAAACGATTTCATACTTCCACCCTCCAGAATTGTAAGAAGATACGTTCATGTTGTTTTAAGTCACTACAGTTGTGGCAATTTGTATACACATGTATAGAAACACATTTGCATTTTGTATGTCAACCTCATATCCTGTGTCATTGCCAAACTCACTTATTGGTTTCAGGAGTTTTGGTGTTGTTGATTTTTTGGATTTTCAGTATAGACAATCATGTCATCTATAAACAGAAAGAGTTTTATTTTTTCCTTTCTGATCTACATATGTCTTATTCTATTTGGGCTGCTATAGCAAAATATCATGAAGCGTGTATCTTATAAACAACAGAAAATTATATCTCCGTTCTAAAGGATAGGACTCCAAGATCAAGTGCAGGCAGATTTAGTGGCCGATGAGGGCCCCCTTCCTCATCAACAGCTGTCTTCTCACTCGAACTTCATGTGGTTAAAGATGTGAGGGATGTTTCTCAGGCCTCTTTTATAAGGGTACTAATCCCCCAAATGAAGGCATTGTCCCCATGATCTAATCACCTCTCAAAGGCCCCACCTCCCAAAACTTTCACCTTGTGGGTGAGGAACTCAATATTTGAATTTTGAGGGGATATAAACATTTAGACCATGGCAATATACCTCTTATTTCTGTTTCTTGCCTTATTGAACTAGCTAGGACTTTCAGTACAACATTGAATAGGAGTGTTAAGAAAGGACATCTTTGTCTTGTTTCTGAACTCAGGGAGAAATTGACCAGTTTCTTACCTTTAAGTATAATGTTAACCATAGGTTTGTTTGTAGACATTCTTTCTCAAATTGAGAGAGTTTCCTTCTATTCTTAGTTTGGTGAGAGTTCTAATCATGATTTGATGCTGGATTTTATCAAATATTTTTGTGTGTTGATTTATATGGTCATAAGATTTTTCTTTTGTTTGTTAATGTGATGCATTATGGTGATAGATTTAAAAATTTGGAATCAGCCTTTCATACTTGGAATAAATCCCACTTGGTCTTGGTATATAATTATTTTTGTACAATGTTGGATTTAATTTGCTACAATTTTGTTGAAGATTTTTGCATGTTCATGATGGATATTGTTCTTAAGGTTTCATTTGTTGTAATGTTTTCATCTAGTTTTGTTGTTAATACAATACTGACCTGGGTTAGTAATCTTTCTTCTGCTTCTGTTTTCTGGTAGCAATTTAGAAGAATTGGTATCATAAATGTTTGGTAGGATTTACCGATGAAAACATCTGGGCCTGGTGCTTTCTTTTTCATAAAGTCATTATTTAATGTATTAACCTACTTGGGTTGCCATAAAAAATACAATACATTGACTGACTTTGGCAATAAAAATTTGTTTTCTCCCAGTTATAGAGGCTGGAAATCTGAATAGAGGGTGCCAGTAGGGTTGGGTTCCTGATGAGGGCTCTCTTCTGTCTTGCAGATGACTGCCTTTTCACTTTACTGGATCCTCATATAGGAAACAGAGAGAGAGAGAGACAGAGACAGAGAGAGAGAGAAAGAGAGAGAGAGAGAGAGGGAGAAGAGGAGAGGAGAGGTGAGACAAGTTCTCTCATGTTTCTTCTTACAAAGCACAAATGCCATTATGAGGGTCCCACCCTCATGACCTCATCTAATCTTAATTTCCTCCCAAAATTAAATCTCAAATGTCATCACATTGTGCTTAGGGGTCAACACATAATTGGGGGTCATGGTGGGGGTTAAGTCACAAACAATCATTCTATAGCAATTATTGATCTTAATGGATTTAGGACTAATGCTACTTATTTCTCGAGTGAGTTTTAATAATGTGTGTCTTTCAAGCAATTGTTCATTTCATTTAAATAATCAGTTTTGGGGCCAAGAATTGTTCATGCTATTTCTTCCTTCCTTTTTTTTTTTTTTTTTTTTTTAAATGTCCGTGGGAACAGTAGTGATGCTCTTTAATTCATTTTTAATATTAATTGTTGTCTTCTTCCTTCTTTTACAGTTACCTTGGCAAAAAGTTCATAAACTTTATTGATGTTTTCAAAGAATTAGCTTAAAAAATACTTTCTGAGACAGGGTCTTTCTCTGTCACTCAGGTTGGAGTGCAGTGGTATGATCATGGCTAACTGTATCCTTGACCACCTGAGCTCAAGCAATCCTCCCACCTGAGTCTCCTGAGTTTCTGGGACAACTGGTGCATACCACCATGCCTGGCTAGTTTTTTAAAATTTATTTTTATTTTGTAGAGATGGTGCTTCACTACTTTGCTTACTCTGGTCTCAAACTCCTGGGCTCAAGTGATCCTTCTATCTTGGCCTCCCAAAGTGCTGGGATTATAGGTGTGAGCCACCATGCCAGGCCAGAATTAACTTTTGTTTTCATTAATTTTTACTATTGTTTTCCTGTTTTCAAGTTCATCATTCTGCTCAAATTTTTATTGTTTCTTTTCTCCTGTTTGTTTTAGGCTTAGCTGCTCTTTCTTCTTTAGTTTATTTATGTGGAAATGTAGGTGAGTGGGTTTAGATCTCTCTTCTTTTCTAATATATACATTTAATGCTATAAATTGTCTTCTAACTACTGGTTTGGTTCAATCCCTCAAATTTTGATAAATTGTATTATAATTTTCTTTTAATTCAAATAGTGTTTAATTTATCTTGAGATTTCATTGACCCATATGTGATTTAAAAGTGTGTTGTAAACAATCCCACTAAAAAGGGGGCAAAAACATAACAGATACTCCTCAAAAGAAGACATACGGCCGGGTGCAGTGGTTCATGCCTGTAATTCCAGCACTTTGGGAGGCCGAGGCAGGTGGATCACAAGGTCAGGAGATCAAGACCATCCTGGCTAATATGGTGAAACCCTTTCTCTACTAAAAAAAATACAAAAACATTAGCCGGGCATGGTGGCGGGTGCCTGTAGTCCCAGCTACTCGGGAGGCTGAGGCAGGAGAATGGCGTGAACCCAGGAGGTGGAGCTTGCAGTGAGCCGAGATGGCACCACTGCACTCCAGCCTGGGTGACAGAGCGAGACTCCGTCTCAAAAAAAAAAAAAAAAAAAAAAAAAAAAAAAAAAAAAAAAAAAAAAAAGACATACAAGAGGTCAATAAACATGAAAAAATGTTCAGCATCGTTAATCATCAAAGAAATGCAAGTCAAAATCACAATGAGTTAACATTACATACCAATCAGAATGGCAATTACTAAAAAGTCAAAAAACATGCTAGCAACAATGCAGACAATAGGAAACATTTATACGCGATTGGTGGGAATCTAAATTAGTTCAGCCACTGTGGAAAACAGTCTGGAGATTTCTCAAAGAACTTAAAATAGAGCTACCATTAAACCCAGCAATTCCATTACTGGGTATATTTCCAAAAGAAATAAATCATTCTACTCAAAAAAACGTGCACATGTTCATCCAGTACTATTCACAATAGAAGACATGGAATCAACCTAGGTGCCCATCAGTGGTGGACTGGATAAAGAAAATGTGGTATATGTACACCATGGAATATAGTATGCAGTCATAAGAAAGAATGAAATCATATCCTTTGCAGAAATGTGTTTGCAACTTGAGGCCATCATCCTAAGTGAATTAATGCAGAAATAAAGAAAAAAACCCACATGTTCTCACTTATAAGTGTGAGCTAAATATTGGGTACTCATGAACCTAAAGATGGGAAAAACAGACACTGGAAGCTACTTTGGGGGTGGGAAGGGGGTAATGGTTTAAAAACCATCTACTGGCTACTATGTTCACTATCTGATTATGGGATCATTTGTACCCCAAATCTCAGCATCATGTTGTATACCCATGTAATAAACCTGCACATGTATTCCCTGAATCTAAAATAGAAGAAGAAATTAACATTACAAAAAATAAATAAATAAAAATGTGTTGATGTGGTCTTATTTCTGAGCTCTCTATTCTGTTTCATTGGTGTATGTGTCTGTTTTGTTACCAGTACTATGCTGTTTTGGTTACTGTAGCCTTATAGTACAGTTTGAAGTTGGGTAGTGTGATGCCTACAGCTTTTTTTTTCTTAGTTTTGTCTTGGCTATACGAGCTCTTTTGTGGTTCCATATCAATTTTAAGGTATTTTTTTTCTAATTTTGTGAAGAATGTCATAAGAATTTAATGGGAATAGCATTGAATCTATAAATTACTTTGAGCAGTATGGCCATTTCATGATATTGATTCTTTCTATCCATGAGCATGCAATGTTTTTCCATTCGCTTGTGTCCTCTCTTATTTCCTTGAGCAGTGGTTTGTAGCTCTCCTTGGAGAGGTCCTTCACATCCCTTTTAAGCTGTGTTCCTGGGTATTTTATTCTCTTTATAACAATTGTGAATGGTAAGTTCATTCATGATTTGACTCTCTGTTTGTCTATTGTTGGGGTAAAGGAATGCTTATGGTTTTTACACATTGATTTTGTAGCCTAAGACTTTGCTGAAGTTGCTTATCAGCTTAAGGAGCTTTTGGGCTAAGACAGTGGGATTTTCTAGATATAAGATTATATCTTCTGCAAGCAGAGACAATTTGACTTCCTCTCTTCCTGTTTAAATACTCTTTATTTCTTTCTGTTGCTTGATTGCCCTGGCCAGAACTTCCACTGCTATGTTGAATAGGAGCTGTCAGAGAGGGCATTCTTGTCTTGTGCTGGTTTTCAAATGGAATGCTTCCAGCTTTTGCCCATTCAGTATGATATTGACTGTGGGTTTATCATAAATGTCTCTAATTATTTTGAGATATGTTCGATCAATGGCTAGTTTATTGAGAGTTTTTAACATGAAGGGATGCTGAATTTATCAAAGGCCTTTTCTGCATCTATTGAGATAATCATGTGGTTTTTGTGATTAGTTCTGTTTATATGATGAATTATATTTATTGATTTGTGTATGTTGAACCAGCCTTGTATCCCAGAGAAAAAGCTGACTTGATTGTGATGGATAAGCTTTTTGATGTGCTGCTGAAGCCAGTTTGCCAGTATTTTATTGAAGATTTTCACATTGATGTTCATCAGGGATATTGATCTTCAACAAACCTGACTAAAACAAGCAATGGGGAAAGGATTACCTATGTAATAAATGGCGCTGGGAAAACTGGCTAGCCATATGCAGAAAACTGAAATTGGACCCCTTCCTTATACCTTATACAAAAAATTAACTCAAGATTGATAAAAGACTTAAATGTAAAATCCAACACCATAAAAACCCTAAAAGATAATCTGGGCAATACCTTTCAGAGCATAGGCGTGGGCAAAGACAATGACAAAAATGCCAAAAGCAATTGCAATAAAAGTGAAAATTGAGAAATGAGATCTAATTAAACTAAAGAGCTTCTGCACAGCAAAAGAAACTATCATCAGCGTGAACATACAACTTACAGAATGGGGGAAAGCTTTAAAAATCTACCCATCTGACAAAGGTCTAATATCCAGAATCTACAAGGAACTTAAACAAATGTACAAGAAAAGAGCAAACAACCCCATCTAAAAGTGGGCAAAGGACATGAACAGACACTTCTGAAAAGAAGACATTCATGTGGCCAACAACCATATGAAAAAAAGCTCAACATCACTGATCATTAGAGAAATGCAAATCAAAACCACAATGAGAAACCATCTCACACTGGTTAGAATGGCAATTATTGAAAAGTCAAGAAACAGACGCTGGTGAGGCTGTGGAGAAATAGGAATCCTTTTACACTGTTGGTGGGAATATAAATTAGTTCAACCATTGTGAACGAAAGTGTGGCGATTCCTCAAGGATCTAGAACCAGAAATACCATTTGACCCAGCAATCCTGTTACTCAGTATATACCCAAAGGAATATAAACCATTCCATTACAAAGATACATGCATGTATATATTCATTGCGGCACTATCCACAATAGCAAAGACATGGAATTAACCCAAATGCCCATCAATGATAGACTGAATATAGAGAATGTGATACATACACACAATGGAATACTATGCAGCCATAAAAAGGAATGAGATAATTTCCTTTGCAGGGACATGGTTGAAGCTGGAAACATCATCCTCAGCAAACTGTCACAGGAACAGAAAACCAAACACCACATGTTCTCACTCCTAAGAGGGAACTGAACAATGAGAACACATGGACACAGGGAGGTGAACAACACACACTGGAACCTGTTAGGGAAGTGTGGGGAGGGAGTGCATCAGGATAAATAGCAAATGCATGCAGGGCTTAGTACCTAGGTGATGGGTTGGTAGGTGCAACAAACCACCATGGCACACATTTACCTATGTAAAGAACCTGCGCATCCAGCACATGTATCCTGGAACTTTAAAAAATGGTGTATTGTTTAATTTCCAAATATTTGATGATTTGGAAGATATCTTTCTTTCTCTTATTGATCTCTAGTTTTAATTCCATTGTTGTCTGAGCTGATGCTTTGTGTGATATCTATACTTTTAAATTTGGTAAGATGTGTTTTATGACCCAGAATGTGATCTAACTTGTTGAACATTTTGTGTGATCCAAAGAAGAAAGTATGTTCCAGTGTTGTTGAATGGCATATTCCACAAATGCCAGTTACATAAAATTGATTGATATTGCTGTTTAGGTCAACTAAATCTTCACTGATTTTCTGCCTGCTTGATCTATCAATTGCTGAAAGATAGATGTTTAAGTCTCCACCTATAATGGTAAGTTTACCTATTTTGCCTTAAAGTTCTACCAGTTTTTGCCTCACATAGTTTGATGCTCTATTGTTAGGGTTGTTGTGACTTTTTGGATAATCATTCCCTTTATCATTTAATCATTGCCTTGTTTATGCATGGCATTTTTTCTTATTCTGAAGTCTACGTTGTCTCAAATTAATTGAGTTACTTCAGCTTTCTTTGGATCAGTGTTAGCACAGTATATCTTTTTCCATCCCTTTACATTTATCCTATCAGAGTCTATATGTAAAGTGAATTTCTTGTATGCAACATATAGTTCAGTTCTGTTTGTTAATTCACTCTGACAATGTGTGTCTTTTAATTAATATATATGGACCATTTGTCTTTAAAGTGATTATTAATATACTTGGATTAATATCAACCATATTTTCACTGTTTTTTATTTGTTGCCAAAAGCTGTCTTTTCTGCCTTCTTTCATTTTAATTGAGCATTTTATATAATTCCATTTTCCTATCTCTCTTAGCATATTATCTTACTTTTACAAATATTGTTAGTGGTTGTCCTGGAGTTTACAATATAAAATTTTAACAAATCTAAGTTCACCTTCAAATAAAAGTACTCCATTTCACATGTAGTCCTGATTTGTCCCTTGCATCTCTTGTGACGTTGCTGTCATTCTTCTAATTATCCAGAAGATAGAAGTTGTTATTATTATTATTTAGTAACAATAAATAAGCAATAAATGGTTATCTTTTAATCAATTAAGAATATGAAAAATAAAAGATTTAATTTTTCTTTATTCTTCTCCCTTGTTCTTCTTTTTTAATGTAGACTAAAGTATCCGGCCTACATAGTTTTCATTCTATCTACAGACAATCTTTACACATTTTTTACATGATAGATATACTGGCAATGAAATTCCTCAGTTTTTGTTTGATAAAATATTTTTGTTTCATTTATGAAGGACAATGTATTTTGATATAGAATTCCAGGTTTTTTTTCTTTTAGCACTTTAAATATTTTGCTTATTACTTTAAATATTTTAAATATTGTTTGCATAGTTTCTGGTGAGAAGTCCACTGTAATTATTGTTCCTGTTCCTGTATAGGTAAAGCATTTTATTTCTTTCTGGTTACTTTCAAGATTTTCTCTTTGCATTCAGTTTTCCGCAGCTTGAATATGATATGCCTATAGATAGTTTTTGTTTTTGGAGGGAGGAAAGAGAGGTTATTTATTCTCGGGGTATCTCTGAGCTTCCTTGGTCTGTGGTTTGTTGTCTACAATTAATTTTGGAAATTTCTTGGTCATTATTACTTCAAATATTTCTTTTGTCTCATTTTCTCTTTCTTTATATTCTGGCATTCTGTAATATTACATCTTTTGAAATTGTCCCATAACTATTGGCTATTCTATTTTATTCTGTTTTGTTTGTTTGTTTTTCTTTTACATCTTGTCTTCTCTTTACATTTTAATTCAGGAAGTTCTGCTAATGTTTCTTTAAGGTCACTGATCATTTCCTTGGGTTGAGTCTACTGATGAGCCCATCAGATAATCTTCACCACCCTTGCTCTGTTTTAGATTTCTAGCATCACCATCAATTCACCAAAATTACCATTTAAGTCAGGAATGTACAAGCTTTTGACTTCCCTGGGCCACATTGAGAGAAAAAGAATTATATTGGGCCACACATAAAATACACTAACGATAGCTGATGAGCTTAAAAAAAAACTGCAAAAATATTTTAAGAAAGTTTACAAATTTGTGTTGGAATTCATTCAAAGCCATCCTGGGCTGCATGTAGCCCGTTGGGCCATGGGTTGGATAAGCTTCATCTAAGTGTTGCTGCTAGTTAGTGGTTCCAATGGCTTTTGCTGCAGATGATCTTGGCTTTGGGTTCCACTTTGCCCTGGGACCTATGTTCTCAGATGGGTTTTTAAAAAGTCACTGATTTTCATTTTATATAGCCCAATCTAAAAATCTCTGCCCTAGAAGTTTGCACTAAAATATACTGGGAAAAAAAAAAAAAAGATTAATTCAGAACTTTAGGATCTCTGTACCAGGAATTTAGGATTTAAAAACTCAGGAGTTACATAATTTTGGGGGTGAGGGGTGCACATACATCTTTCTTTTTTTAAACTGATTTAAAACTGAAATTTATCATGTCTTTCAATTATAAGCATAAGCAACAATGCACAATAGTATTGGCAGTAACTGTGACATTGTTACCAATGGAACTCACACGTATTTTCATATTACATTTATAGTTTTTTCCTAATAAATTAATATATCATTTATGCTGAACCCTTTGAAAAAGTGTTAGTAGACTCACCACTTGATCTTATTATTTAAAGCATTAGTGAAGATGAGGACATATAACTAAATCACGAATTTGCTTAAACATTTCTTTCACTAACTATATTTAGGTATATTCATTTCCTTTTCAATTTGGTGTATTTTTATTTTAAAATACAAAATTATTCTGAAGAAGTATGCGAAGCAGAATAATGACCCCCAAAGATGTCCACACCCTATTCCCAGGTACCTGTGAATTTCTTAAAAGAGACTTTGGGTTTGTTGGCCTGTAAATTAGTTCAACCAGTGTTGAAGACACTGTGGAAGACAGTATGGTGATTCCTCAAGGATCTAGAACCAGAAATACCGTTTGACCCAGCAATCCCATTATTGGGTATATACCCAAAGGATTATAAATCATTCTACTATAAAGACACATGCACATATATGTTTACTGAAACACTATTCACAAAAGCAAATACTTGGAACCAACCCAAATGCCCATCAATGATAGACTGGATAAAGAAAATGTGGCACATATACATCATGGGATATACACTATGCAGACATGAAAAAAGATTAATGAAAAAAGAGTTCATTTCCTTTGCAGGGGCATGGATAAAGCTGGAAACCATCATTGTCAGCAAACTAACACAACAACAGAAAACCAAACACTGCATGTTCTCACTCATAAGTGGGAGTTGAACAATGAGAACACATGGACACAGAGAGGGAAACATCACACACCAGGGCCTGTTGGAGGCAGGGGGCAAGGGGAGGGGTAGCATTAGGAGAAATACCTAATGTAGATGACAGGTTGATGGGTGCAGCAAACCACCATGGCACGTGTATACCTATGAAACAAACCTGCATGTTCTGCACCGGTATTCCAGAACTTAAAGTATAATAATAATAAAAAGAGAGACTTTGGAGATATGATTAAAGTTAAGGACCTTGATATGGGGAGATTATCCCAGATTATACACATGGGCTCAATCTAATCATACAAGTCCTTAAAAGTGGAAAAGAAAGGCATAATGTTGGGTCAAAAAGATGAGACATGAGTAGAACTGTACCTGTTTTTGCTGGAGTTGAAACTGCAGGCAGGTGACCATGAGCCAAAGAATGCAGTGGGAAAGACCTTCAGCTACAGACAGGAAGAAAATGGGGATCTCAGTTCTACATCTGCAACAAGTTGAAATCTGCCAGCAATCCAAATGAATAGGAAACAGATTACCTCCTAGAACCTCCAGCCTGCCTACATTTTTATTTTAGTCTGGTGTGACCTGTACTAGACCTCTGACCTACAGAACTGTAATAAACTGTTGTTTTAAGCCACTAAGTTTGTTCTACTTTGTTACAGCAGTAATACTAAACTGATATGCAAAGGATGCCCATACTTCATCAAAATATCAATGTTGTCCATGGCAAGCAAAGAACCCAGCTGTAGTTTAATTCAACATCACAGTCCCAACATGTTTTCAAAGGTAAATGTTATGGAATGAAATAATTAATGATCATTAAAACACCCCAAATTTTGGCACTGAAAATGATTCCATCTATGTTAATAAAGGCATAAAACAATTGTAATAAATTTCTACCTTATCTCTTCTAATTTGGCTCCTGAATTTTCTAACTCTATGTGCATGGCTGATTATGACAATTTAAAATTCTTTTTCTGAAAATTATGATGCATATATAAACTTGGGCACCTAACTCAAGAGTAGCTTTTAAGGAATTGATTGCCATACGCAATCAATTGAATGTAAACTTATGTCATTGAAGAATGCATATGGGTGGAAAGGTTGTACTAGCAAAATCTAATGAGGAAAATGATGTATTAGAAATACAGAAGAGTGATGGCTTGTTCTGAGTATGCCTCTTAGGTTAGAAGAGATTATCTTCTGTTATAATCTCAATATCCTTTGGTAAGAGTAACTCTGAAAATGTATGTTGGTGCCAAAGCAACATCACTGCGTATTATTTATGTAAATATGTTTCTAAAGTAGTAATCAGAAGACCATGAAATTCTTTAAACACCTGTTAGAATTAGGGAGTGGTAGAAATCTAAATTAGGCTGTTGGAATATTGCAGTATTGCTACCAGATAATAGAAAGTCCATAGGCAATTATATGAAGGGACAATTCTTGAAAAACAGATTCTTGATTTTTTTCTTGGCATACACTTTCTAATTAGTTTTACTTTAGCACCTTTCTTTTTTATAATTTGCCAAAATGTACTATCTTTTATTCACAGCTTTTGGTCCCAGGATTATTCAACCTAGCTCATAAAAGAAAACAATATTGCATTTCTAAGCATTTGTTCCTAGAATTGGCAAGTTTAGTCGAGAAAAGCTGGAATGACATTAAAACAACACCCTGTCATCTTTCAATCAGTCCTTAGCTGAAGTTAAAATCCCACTCATTCTACATGATTCAGGTAAAGATCTTCTTCCTTAAGGCACTTCACTGCTTCAGGCCTCTGTGGTTTGCTTTTTCCCTAAAAATCCTTAAATGTTTTGCACCCATAAACACTAAATTGAGTTTTCAGTATTCAATTCACTCATTCATCCAACACTATTTGATTGTCTGCTGGATGCCAGTCATGGGGCTAAGCTCTGTAGATACAAGGATGAAAAGGACTCTGACCATATTCTTAGTATAAGAGGGAAATAAACATGAAAAGTGATAGTTACGGTACAGTCTGATAAGCACTGTCTTAAAACTTGGAAGATTATCACACATTGACAATTATAAAATTATGGAGATGTGTTCTCTCTTTAGCTGTTAGTTAAGTCCCTAAAATGCTTTATGCTTTGTCTCCCTGTATTACCATGCTGATCTGTTCATAATGCCTGTTGTTAATTAAGTCTTCTTGATAAAATGTTTTTCTCTTACTGTGCTCTTCTCTTATGTTTTTTTCCCCATTCTTTCCATTTCGTACTGTGAACAGTGAGAAGGCATTTCTTCTCAGCCCAGTACTACTACTTTGAGTGAGGGGAGCGGTTAAAAATTCAGGCTCAGGGTAGAGATTAACTGCATTTGAATCTAGGTCCAGCCACTGGATAGCCTTTTAACATAGGCAAGTCATGCAAACTCACAGTGCCCAAATCTCCTCATCTGTAGAATGATGAGGAATAGCACCTGTTCCACAGTGTTCTTGTTAGGATGAAATGAGATACTGTGTGTAAAGTGCTTGGCATATAATAAGCACTGTGCAAATAGCGGCATTATTATTTGACAGCAGAACAGAGGCCAGACATTTCTTCAGTTTATAATTTAGGACCAAATAGAAATGCTATTAATAAGAAATATATTGTTTTTCTTTTTGATTGCACATGACTGCTGGAGAGTCTCTGTAGCATAGAGTAAGTAGCCCCTTAGCAAGAACCAAAATGGAGGGTATGGATGAGGCTCAGATCATCACCATCTGGAGAATAGAGACAGTGCCTGAGTCGCCAGGAAATCTGTCCCCTGCTCATCCCAGAATCCCCAATGTTTGACTTTTTAAGGGAACATGTGACGGATAATGCCATCTGAGAAGGTAAGCAGCAGATCTTCTAGGTGGTAGAATTGAGATTTCAACCTTTGGCTCTCTGACTTTAAAACATGATTTTTCCCCTCCATAAAGAAAGTGGGTTCCCAATGGGACAAGGATCCAATGAATGAGTATGTCGGAAAGAGACTTGTACAGAAGATGCTGTGATAAAGTGGTCTTAGCAAGAATTGGGAGCAGATACGGGAGTGTGGGATGTCTTCTGTTGTCTAGGGCAATGACGATGTAGAACAGGGACAATATCTCTTAGTAGTGCTGCCATATGCTTAGATACACCCTAAGCTTTGTTGGTATGAAGTAGTCTGTAAGATGATTGGCTGTGGGTAAAACCACAATCAGTATTGGCCTTTAAATTATACTGTGTTGATATTCAATATTGACTCTGCTGGAGTGTCATATAGAATTGCTTTTTCTTCTCAATGCTGTGGCATGACATTGCCTTAAATTCGAATAGATTATTAGTGTTTTAAAAGAGTGTGTCATTTTATATTCATATTAATGAAATTCTGATGTTGTTAAGGATCACACAAGGTTGTCAAGACAAGACAGAATTCATACAATGCGCTTCCTACAATGCTCTTGGCTAAAGGGCTTTCACCACTGGCAGGACCTTGTTACAACAGTCCTACCTTCCTGGATTCCCACAGCCTGGACCCTGAGGGCTGCCACGGAGCCAGGCTCCTGTATGGCATGGGTTTGGGGAAGAAGCCAGACAGGGTTCTTAGCAGGAATATAAATTGTGTGAGGAGTCATAAAAACTAGATAAGGAATGTATTGTTCAGTAGTTAAAGATGTGCTGGCCTTAGTTTAACTATTGTAAACCCTTAGAAGGATTTGGAAAATGAATTGAGAGCTGGTTTGTTATTTTTGCCCCCATGAGTCTTTCTTTCTTTGTCTTTTTAACAAGCACAACGGCTTTAGAAATCCTGTCTCTAGTGATGTTTACTTCTTTTCTACTTGGGAAACATTCTAAGGCTCACAATGGTACTTGTGGCACCCTAGCACATTTCCCCACCTCTTATCCCCCATTTCTCCCAATATAAAAAGAAAGAAAAGGAAAAGCTACTGACCGCACCTGAGGCTTTGTCAAAACTCTTTGGCACAATTCAGTGCCTGCAAATGTTACAGGAGGATGTGCAGATAGATGCAAAAGGGCGTTTGTCAAATCAAGAGAACACTATTCAACCGAGACACATTTCCAGCTCTCTGTTGTGTGGTTGCCTTGAGAATAATTATGTACAAGTACTGCTTGGATCTTACGGTGACCTGGCTAGGGGAAGAAGATTCTGGGAATAAATAGCAGCTAAGCAGCAACAGAGCTTGCCGTCTGTTTAAATAATGCTCTGTAAATGTCTTCAGGTAGCCTGTCTAAACCCTGGAATTTTATTTTCTTCAGGGCTGCTAACCACCTCTCTGTGCTACTAAACTGTATAGGAGAAACCTTTGCATTTTATCTTTTAAAAACCTGCTTCTCACCCCTCCCTACATACAGCTACCATCACATTTTTCATGATTATCTCAGACTCTTTTAGCATTTGCATGTGGTTAGTTTTCTTTCATTATTTGCTAGCCTGGAATGAATCTGTAGCCTTTTATATTTTATAGATATTATATAAAATACATCATGTTTGTTTCATAAAGATCTTGTTTTTCAACACTGACGACTGTAGATGCATAGTTTTTGCAGCATGCTAAATCTTAATCTCAATTTTGTATTTTCTGGTTGAAATCATCTCTGTAAAACATCAATAAAAGAGAGAAAGCACACTTTTTTTTCCAGGTGCTCCCAGGTTGATCTTGTACGGTAGAAAGGTACAAGAGTTCACATATATTTGTCCAATCTAGAAAAATTTATTACACATATGATTCTGAGTGAAAATACAGAATTACTATCTTTAACTTTCAGGAAGCAAGGACTATAGTAGCTTTTTTTTTTTTTTTTTTTTTTTTTTTTTTTTTTTTTGCTAATGGAAAATATCCATTATTCCATAATTTTTGGAGCCTGTTGCCAAATTTGGTGGAGCATGAATAGAGCTCTGGTTTTATCTTTCGTGGTGCTTGAATCTTCGCTCTCTTTCTTGGCTTTGGAGAAGTGTACAGTTGTTTTTTCCTTCTTCTTTTCTCAGTCCTTCTCTGAAATTCTTGAATGGCTTGTTTGCCTCTGTTCACTGTTTTATGGCTTTAGAGCTCAATTTTATATCTCCTGCCCTGACATCTCTCATGAGCTCCAATACCTGGTGGAATTTCCACCTTAGACTTGGCCTGTCTAACATTGACTGAGCTCACATCTTCCTCACTCCATCTTTCAGCACATTTGTGCCAAAGTTGTTTGCTGCCTCCTTTAGTCAGGCTCCAGAGGGCTTTACTAAGATTTCTATCATTTATCTTGATTGTGCCTGATTTAAAAAATGATTTAAATAATAAACTCATCTTACTTTTAATTCTAAATCTTCCTGGATGGGTTTGAATTCAAAGTTTTCTTTTGTTTATTCAAAATCCACTGTCTAAAAATTTTCACTTGTGTTGAAGTTTTATGAAAAACTGAAAAGTATGAAAAAATTTAAAAATATATACTTTCTACATGCTTAAAAGGGTCTTAGAAGTCATTTGGTAAAATTACTCATTACATAGATGAATAATTCATTGTAGACTGTAGTGAGTTGGGTTTCTAGGCCCTTGGTGAAGCTTTGCTTCTACTAAATATAATGAGAAAAGTATGGTTGTTAATGAATTACGTATTCCACATCTCTATGTATATTCATGTTTATTTCTTCATTCATAACATTTTGAATCTTCAGACCTAAAAGAGGATCATCTTTTGGGCATTATATGCTTTGTATTTGCAAAAGTCCATTTCTAAAAGTCTGACCTGAGTTTCATATAACTTGAGTATATTGCTTTCCTTCAGAGAACATGTGTCTTTGGGCCTCATCACACGTTGTTTCTTGTGTAGAGTCACTGCCTCAGACCTGTCACATGGCCAGTCTCAAATCATTAGCCAAGTCCAAGTTTTGCAATAACCAACCCATGAATAATGACGCAATAATGGGAATTGAGCAGCAATATAAATTATGTTAGATTTAGCAAACCACATGTTATGAACACATTAAAAAAAGAAATACTGTTCCACTTTTAGAATGACCTTATTATGTGATGAAAAAAGAACTGAAGAGAATGTGGGCACTGCTAACTTCTAGAAGTAAGGAAAGTACACTTAGATATGGGCATAATTTTTGGTGAACTGAAATTCCTGTCCTCAAACTAATAAAATTTGATTCATTTCTCTAAATGATCATCTCTAAATAGATCTATACAATACTAAGTACCTACTGGCTTATATGGCTGTAGTTTCTCATAGTTATTTGAAATGAGCCTGTGGTGATGGTTTGAGGCTAATATAATTATTTTCTTCCACTGCGGGCAAGGTATAAATCCTCCAGGACTTCTGAAATGCCCTTTTATACTCCTTTCAGGAAGGTAAAATGATCGCTTTATCAAATCCATGTCCGTAGGAATTGCATTTCTATGTATGCTGTTTGATCTTATTAGATCAAATCACTTTCTATGGATCAACTTGTCTCAGTCTTCATTTCTTTTAAGAGGAAGGAGTTATAAAGACTACGGTGGGGATATTTCACTTGGTTTGCACACTATTGATAAAGGATAAATGATAAAAGAGGATATAATCATGACTCATACAAATATAAAATAGATACATGTCAATGTTTTTATTTCACTCACTAATTAGTGAAGGAACTGGAAAAGTTGTTAAAATTGGTTGCTACAAAGGAGAATTTAAACAGCCAACCAATACACAAGCTCATCAGAAAGGCTGATTTAAATTTGCTTAATAGATGCAAAACTAGCTTCTTCAACAATGGGAGAGGGAAGTCGATTGAATTTCCACTGGACAGAGTTTATTTGCATGCCTCTAACCAAGAATTATTTGCATTGCTATCAGTTTTCTGCAGGTTAATGTCTACCTCTACAGAATTATAAAATAGCTGAAGAAAATGAAAAGCACAAACTTCACAAAATTAGATAACCTTGGGTGTGTTCTAAACAATGCATTGTTTTGCATTAATGACACCCTTAGTCTTTTGGTCTACTTCATTAGCTTTCCCAGTTTTTCCCTACAGATTGCCCTCTTCTTTTGGCTTTAATTTTTTCAATGGTTTTGGGGAAGGTAGCACCCAATTTATGTTTCAGAATAATTTTAATTATCTCTGCTTAAGCCTTTTGTTCCCTCTTCTTCAAGTCCAGCTTAGGCAACTAGTCATCAATGTGTCCTCGCAAAGAGCATATCCCCAAATTGGAAAATAATCCTTCAGGGCATCTGAACATAACTACATTTGGCTTACTTGGTGAAGCAGTTGTCTGAATACAATAAGACCACATGGAAGGAGGCGAGTGTTCGACATTTTAAAATGCATTTTAAGAAAAATTAATTTTGGGTCTTTTTGCTTACCATATTTATTTGCTATGTATTTTATTATTATTTTTTGAGACAGGGTCTTGCTCTGTCACTCAGGCTGGAGTGCAGTGGCACAATCATGGCTTACTGCAGCCTCTACCTCCCGGGCTCAAGCAATTCTACCACTTCAGTTTCTTGAGTAGCTGGGGCTACAAGAGTGTGCCACCACACCTAGCTAATTTTTTATTTTTTTGCAGAGATAGGGGTCTCACTATATTGCCCAAGCTGGACTTGAACGTCTAGGTTCAAGCAATCTTCCCACCTTGACCTCCCAAAGTTTTGGGATTATAGGCATGAACCACCATAGTCAGCATACACTGCTATGCATTTTAGAGTAGTTAATACAGTTGTGACAAATTACAGTGGGAGGTAAATCAATGATTATTGTAAAACATTAGCAAAAATTCAAGGTCATATGGTCCAAACATCTAAACAGTTTTACTATTACTTCACTAATGAATTAATTCATTTATTCACTAGATCAGAAGCTCGGTAAAGGCAATAACTTCACCTA